AGGAAGAATATGGCCCAGAGTCAATACAAAGAGGGAGATCTGGGCTGTATCTTCCCTTCTCCCATGCCCCAGAAGGTCTAAACTTAGTTTACTGGATATACTGCAATGACATTAACATGTTGCAAGATCAAGAATCAAGCAAAAGAGAGAAAAGGAGCTTAATGGGGCGTGAAGTATTTTAATGCCATGGCAACTGTGGTGTCTTCTCTATTATTTAATTCACTTCCTCGGGTCAGGTTATTCTGCCCTCTCTCTCTTGCACTTCCTGTTGCTGTAATCAAATCAGGTCACCCTGAATTCGTGAGTTGTCTTCCTGATGCAGTCAGGTCTATTTCCAGCACAATGAATGTCTCCATCTCTCTCTTTGCTCCTGGACCTTTATTCGGTGCCCTTGATGTTCCTTCTCTTCCCTGTGCTCCACATGCTGCAAATGCTCCCCTTTCATCCTCATCTTCTCCCCCACGCCCTTCTCCTGCTCGCTGCTCCTCTCCCACCCCTCCCTCCTGTTCCTGCAGTTGTCACTAACACAGTTAGCCTCTTGATTAGTGACTCAGTGATTCTGAACCCAAGAACTGTGGTTCCCCTGAAACTCCCATGCCTCTCTCTCTAGAGTAAAGATAAAGGTCCTTCCCTCACCCTCTCAGTGCCATTAAGGTGAGATGACTCGGGACTTGGATATCGTTTGTTAGAGTTGCTCTGGCTTCTTCCCCTTTCTGTGCCTGTCCCTGAGGCTCTGCATGCTCTATTTAGCTTTTCCCCAGGAACAGTGGTTTGAGCTTAAAATTTATGTAGTGCAATGTCCTCATTTACAGATGGGAAAATTAAGGCACAGGGAGCTTTATTGCCCATTTGCTCAGCTAGTTCTTGGTGGAACCAAAGAGGTAAGGTGAAAACTTAATCAAACTGGCAAATTTGGTGGGAAAAAAAATCTTGTTAAGGAGTGAACAGTGCCAAAATGAGACTTGCTGATTACTTAAGAGTTCCTTCACTCCTTCTAGACTTGTCTCCCTGCCAGCAGTGTAAGCAAGTGGTGGAAACCAGAACCAGGACACCAACCATAAATCTACCGGGGCACCTGGAAAGTCCCTGATGACACACCCTACCGCTGAGGCTCCCGTCTCCCGGGAACATGGAGACCCGAAAGACTGCTTGGGCCCTCCCACCACTACCAGCAAGGAAGGACGAGGAGTCAGTAACAGCCAACAGTAGTGAATCCCTCACAAGGCCCCCATTCACTAGGTTCTTCACAATTTGCTTATCATGCATAGTGGCAAATTGACAGAAACTTGTAAAATATATTTATTGCAAAAGTTATATGTCTTGTAAGTAAGCACCAGCCTTGTCCAGAGAAAGACTTGTGTAGAAAATGGATAGAATTAACTCAGTATTTTGACTGCTTGCTGCAGTGGAAGAGAGAATGATGTTTCCCATGCTGAGTGTGAAGACAAGGACATATCCTTGGAGGCAACAGAAGCTAAGTCAGAGCAGCTTAGAAAAGTCACTCCTCAGTGTGAACGTGGAAGCCAGTCCCACCCCAGGACCTAGATGTTGGATGTCCTGTGCAGTCCCTTTCCTCCCTGGTAGGGCTTGTCCTGGCGCATTGGGATCCTCCAAGTTAGGAGCTGAGCCACACTGTTACACCACCACACCGTTACTACTGCTGCTGCATGTCATTTGTAATTAAGAGCTTTATTGATTTTCTAGCCATGACCACACTGGTGGGTACAGAGTAGGAGAGCGGAAACTGGTGGAAAGCCAAGTGGAAAGAGGGTTTATGAAATGAGCTCTCAATGGAGAAAACTGGGGGAAAGAGTGCAATGGAAGCAGATTTGGGACCAGTAGATGCAGGGAAGTACAAGTAGAACAACTCAAAAATGTTCTTTAGACTAGAGCTGAAACAAAGCACGTTGCCAAAACACAGGAGAAGGATCCAGTCTGTGAGAAAGACTCAGCTCTGTTTATATAAAACAGAATATTCCTATCTGCAAAATCATCACTGGCAATGCTGAACCCACATTCTGTACCAGGCACGGTGCTGGGTTCTGGGGCTATAAATAAGATTCAGTCAGTCTAGGGAAGGAGACGGAAAACATACACAAAATGATGTGTAAAAATGCAAGTGTATCTTTTTTAAGGAATTTATCTTTTATTGAAATGTATTGATTGTACATATTTATGTGGTACAGAGTTATATTTTAATACATGTATACAATGTGAAATACTCAAATCAGGGTAGTTAGCAAATTCATTATCACCAAAATTTGTCATTTCTTTGTGAACAGAACATTTGAGCCCCTCTCTTCTAGCCATTTGAGAAAATACAATAAATTATTGTTAATTATAGATGCCTAGCATGACTGTACACCACTAGAACTTATTTTTCCTAACTACCTGTAATTTCATGTCCATTAGCCAACCTCTCATTCTCTCTCCTCCCCACTTCACTTCCCAGCCTCTAGTAACCACAATTCTACTCTCCATGCAAGTGTGTCTTAAGGGAGTCATAAAAACATTCTGCCTAAGCTTTGGGCCCAAAGCCAGCAGGAATGAGTGGTGGGGAAAGAGGAATGGGACTGTGTCCTGGTTGCTGCTGCCTCACATGCAGATCTGGTGAAGGTTCTCAGGCAGCTTTCACTCCCGTCCCTGCCAATTCTGCTGGGAAGACCCAGTCACTTGCCACCCCATCCCTCACAGGTGCAGAGGAGGCCTGTTCCAGTGATGAGAGCTGTGTGCAGAGTTCCAAGTCCTCTCAAGGTAGCAGGTGGAAAGGAAGCACTTGACAGTTTAGGTGTGCAGTATAGGCTGGGAAAAACTCACAGCACCGAGGGGACAGTTGGATATCCTCCTCTGAACCTAAAAATAAGGGCAGGGCACTTGTGACATGATTCCTCCCCCCCCCCCCCCCCCACATACCTACCCACCATGAGCCTGTGTCTCCTGTGTGTTCTGAAGGGAGATTTCTTCCAACCCACCCTACTCCCTGCCTCACCCTTTTGAGTAAAGGAATAAATTATTTTTGCTGCTTCCTTTACTTTTCAGCATCTTTTTTGCCCCTGAAAATAAACAGGAAACTGGGGAAGAAGATGAATATCAGGTTTGTTTTTATGCATCAGTATAATACAAAAGGGAGGTGGTAATATGTAAAAAAGGAAAATAAGAAAAAATATCATATAACTCAAAACCTGCGAATGACCAAGCTCAGTCAATGACGGCTTAAAAAAAAAAAAATCAGAAATAAAATCCTGTTCTGTGGTTCATGTTTGAAAATGATGTGACCTAAATCTGCAGTGGCTCTCCCACCTTCCACTGCAGGAACACTTTCTCTGTGTAGCCTTGAGCCCCAGGTATCTGCACTGAAGGACTTTAAGGAGGTTAAACCTAGGCCGGAATACTTCAGAGAGGTCGAGATTAAGCTGAAGGACCTCCGATGATCTACTCTAAGCCTGAGGGACCTGATACCAGTGTAGCCTAAACCTCTAACCTCCTGGAGAAGGAATTCAGGCGCGCGGTGCGGTGCGTGGCGGAGGAGGTGCGTGCTCCTAGGACACAGGACACGGCTGCAGATGAGTGCCACCAGGACCCAAGTCTCCTAACTCCTGGTCCGGGGTTCTTCCTGTCTTTCTAAAACAGTCGAAAGGAGCCAAACTTCCTGGCAGTGTATGGGGCTAATGTCCCTAGCATTGTTCTCTTCTTCACAGAGGAAAAGCTGAATTTAAAAAAACAAGCCACAAAAAAACCCAAAAAAACAAAAAAGCCAGCAATACTCGATAAAAAAATATATATATATACATCTGGCATTTAAGCACAGAAACAAACAAGGAGTGGTCTCCCGGGCGCTGGAAGTACTTTGAAATCCCCAAAGTCTCATTTATTGTTCAGAAAACAAACTGGAACAACTTTCTTAGCTCCCCGCCCCCTCCCCCCATGCATGCCGTAGCTGTTCTTGGCAGGTGCCCAGAGCTGCACCCGGTAATTCCACGGTACACTGTGTACATTTGCATCCATTTAACCGGCTATTTACGGCCGCCCTTTTACTGCCACCTGTAAGAGGCAGCGCCATAATGACACTAAGTGGCTGGGCCGCGTATCGGGAGCCCACTGGTTTTCTCCACTTGAAGACGCCTGAATCTGTGAAGTGGTTGGCACTTGGAAAAACAGGGAGACAGCTGGGGACATCACACGTACAGCAGGAGGCGCGAGAAGGAGGCGCGCCAGAGGGAGGGTCCTTCCTCGTTAGCTCCACTCGGTGGCTCCTTTTCTATCGCCACAACCGCGAGAAGGAACCTGCCGAGCCTTCCGTGTGGCTTGTTTCCTGCCTGATAAAGAGCCCGCTGCCATTTGGATTTGATGAATTTCTGAATCACCCAAGGGCCTGGCGATCCGAATGAGGGTGGAGACTGAGGACACTGGGATGGGACCGGCAGTCCGGAGGAACCGAGGCGGGATGACACCCCCTCCAGTAGGGCAGACCGGCTCGCAGACGTGATGCGGGGCCACGGGGACACTTGCGCTCTCGTGCGTGCCGCACTGGTGCAGCTCCGGGTGAAGTGGGGGCGAGGGCAAGAGGAAGTCTAGGCGCCAGAGCGTCAGAAACGCTTCTCAGCTCCCCTAGTACTCTGGAGGCTGCCCCGAGGGGTGCCAGCGGGCGGTGCACGGCGGACTTCCAAGTTGCCCTGGCACAGCTGGAGGTCGGGAGCTCTGAGCCCCCGGAGGGCGGGTACCCGGAGGTCCCAAGTGCCCGCGAGAAGCCGGCAGCGCCAGGGACCTCGTGGCGCGCTCGGAGCGCGCAAAGCCGCTCATAAGCACACGATAAACGCTGGCGGGACAAGGGGCTGGTCGGCCGGGGCGCAGACTAAGCGCGGCCCCGGAGCGCCTTTCGTTTTGGGGGAGCCTTACTTCTGGGAAGGGACAGGGAACTGTCAATCAGCGAGGGAGGGAGCGCACCGGCGCCGGGTGATGTCAGCGGATCAGCTGCTCGATAACAAAGAGGGGGTATTACAGGAGAAAGTTGCAGCGGCGGCGGCGGCCACGGCGGCACCCCGGAGCCTCAGAGGCGAGGGGCAAGTGGGCGAAGGGAGGGGGGACGGCTGCTGCCGCAGCAGCTCAAGGCCGAGGAACTGAAAGGGCTGTAGGGGGAGGCAGCGCGAGCCGGCCCCGACTGCTCCTCCTCTTCCTCCTCCTCCTCCAAACTCGCAGGGCTCAGCCCCAGCGCTCGCTCAGCCGCCGGGAGCACCACCCGGAGGGACGGGAGGCAGCCGCGCGGCCCGAAGCTGGGCAGGGTCCCCAGGCGCCATGGATAGCGACGACGAGATGGTGGAGGAGGCGGTGGAAGGTACAAGCATTTCTCTGGGGTCGGGGGAGGAGGCGACGAGGGCCCGGAGCGCGGAAGGAGTGGCGGGCTGCC